TCCTGTGCTTGCCTCCCATCACCCCACTCCTCTCTCAGCATTCTTAGATCTCGCTAACGGACTGCTGTTGAGTTCAGTTATACAGTTTCAGAGACAGAAATTGCTAAATGTACACTGGCAATGATTTTGACTGCAAGTGACCCTGAATACAATAAATCTATCCTTATGGCATTTATATGTACTTTGTAGAACATTTCAAAACTATTTCAAATACACACATACAAAAAGACTCTTCGGTTATTGAAGACCGCAGGGCAAACCCTGAAAAATGTTCTCAATCTGCTCACTTAGCAGATTTTCTAAAGTGTATGAAAAAGTTATCCTAGCCTCAGTGTGAGATTGCTCCTGTTAGAAATTTTCCAAGATGATTCTTGTTATCTCTTTCAGAATAGTAATCCCACAGCCAGGCCAAGTTCTAGAATAATATTTGTAAAATTTATTTCTAATATCTTGTCCTGTTTTCTTATATCTTTTCTAAATATATTGAGTAGAAATTGGTCATGCTTACTAGGTGGGTTTTGTCAACTTGATCCATTGAACTGGTTCACACTCAAGTTTTAGAAAGTTCTATGCCTCATCAAAGGAATCCCTTCTTTTAAAAAGCATATACATAGCGATAAATGAATATCTAAAAAGAATATTAGGATTTCCTGAGAGGCAGAGTTGATGTTGGAGTTTGCAGATGTCCTTGTGTGAACATAGATGTCCTCTTTTTAAACAAAAGGCCCATTTCTGATATATGTGGTTATTTCCTAAGACAAGTGTTTTTATTTGGGATCTTTTGATCCCTACTTATCTGTAAATATTGTATACATATGTGTATGTGAATGTACCTTTTGGAAAGGAGACATAGACCTTCACTTTCTTTAGATTCTTAAAAACCAATGTATTAAGATACATTATTAAGTCAATGCAGTTGAAATATATGAAGAGAGTAGAGAAACTGTGATTGATTTTCTCACAGAAAGGCTCTTTGGCAAAGAAAATAGGATCCTGAAGTTTTGAAGATATAAGCCTATATACATCATAAAATGAATAAAATTTAGACTCTAGTTCAATTGATAGTATTTAGCAGAATTTTTACCTTCAACATAGAACTTGATAGGTATTTAGGAGGTTTTTCAAAAATTGCTTGTTTTATATATTATCTCTGCAAAAAGAAATGCTTCTGAGATGTCCTATCAGGCATCTACTTTTTAAAACACAGAAGAAACTTTCACAAGTCAATCTTTCTAAACTTATCTTTGAAGTTCTGGAACAAAGCGCAGCTGGCTCTCTCTTCTTTGATTTTGTCTCAGTGGTAGTTCAGAAGACTTGAGAATTGAAGGGCTTTTTCAATTATACAATAACAGCAGGTTTCCATTAAGGCACAAAGTCCATCATCTAAATATATGCTGGGTGTTCTTATATATAAGTGTAACAAGTAAATCTTTGACTGATTCATTTATTTCAGATACTGGTTCTGTGATTCTGAAGTCTAATATAAAATATATCTATCAGTCCTTAAAATGCTTATATATTTTTCCTTAAGTTTGTTCCAAAGTTTTCCAACCTTCCAAATGATTTCCCAAACTTATGATAATTAAGTTAGCCCCAAATTATACACAATGTTTTCTAACAATTCTTTGTAGCCTCCATGACTTACACCTACCTGGTAGATCAAGAGTTTCAATGTGTTGCTTGAACAGTGTGACATTTGTGCAGAGACATGGGTCATTATTAGCATTGTTAAAGAAAACCACAACTGGACAGTAATTGAAACATTAAAAATAGATTTTACTCAGGCACTATTGCAATAGGGAAAAGAGACTTCAGTTTAGAACTGGCCTCAATTCCAAATGCAGCAGGGACAAGTGGAAAAAGATAGCCCAGGAGCAGGGCGTGGGTCAGTGGTTGGAAAATTAGTAAGTGGAAACAACAGGAGTAAGGGGGACTTCTGCTTAATCATACTTTATAGGATACTTCCAGAAGGTAGGCCAGATAATTAGAGGTCCCTGGGGGATGTTGGGAAGTGATATCACGAGTGATCAGATATCCAGTGTGGGAAATTTACTCTAAACTGACTCAGAAGGATTCTTGCTAAAACTGGGTGAAGCAGAGATGAACACAGAAACCAAAAGTCAAGACCTAGTTCAGAGAAAATTTACAGGAACCTGACTCAAGTTTGGTCAAGAAAACTCTTTGTTAGTATACTATCCAGATGAAAGGGAAGCCCAGCCAGTGTGGCTCAGTGGTTGAATGTTGACCCATGCACCAAGAGGTCGCCAGTTCGATTCCTGATCAGGGTACATGCCCAGGTTGTGGGTCAAATTCTCAGTGGGGGCATTGCAGGAAGTGGCCAATTGATGTTCTCTTTCATCGATGTTTCCATCTCTCTCTCCCTTCCTCTCTCTCTAAAATCAATAAAGAAAAAAATAGTGAAAGGGAAGGCAAAGGCCATTCTAAGCCATATCATAAATGCATGTTCACAGAGGAAATGATTTCAGTAAGTCTGAGAACAGAGTAGCTAGCTGTTTGGGTAGCGGTATACATCAAGACTGAAAAGGTACGAGGGGCATATGCTAGCATGCCGTGTTAATGACTGTGGTCTTTATTCTAATAGTTGCTGACATATAAATGACATAAATTTTGTTTAAAGTGATGATTCTGGAACCATCACAAAAGTTCTAATGGAGCAGAAAGAAAATAACTACAGAAAATATAGTTTTGTGTCTATTCCAATAGAGATATTCAAGAGAAATCTAAGATTCTGAATGAGAATAATATCAGAAAGAAACCAAGACATATTTGAAATATATTTTCGAGACAAAAATAAAAATACCTGGTGACCAGATTGAGGATATGAGAGGGAAAGTGTCTAAAGATATCGTTAAGATTTTAGCCTAAGCCCGGCCAGTGTGGCTCAGTGGATTGAGCATTGTCTCATGGACTGAGAGGTTCCGTTTCCATTCCCTGTCAGGACACATGCCCAGGTTGCGGGCTCCATCCCAGTAGGGGGTGTGCAGGAAGCAGATGATTGATCAGTGTTTCTCTCTCACATTGATATTTCTCTCTCTCTCTCTAAAACAATATAAATCAATAAAAACAAATTTAAAAATATTTTAGCCTAAATAATTGGATATTGTAAAATGTATGATGAGGCTGTTGATCACATTCATGAATGGGTGCATATCTCTTTGCTTTGAGCAGGGTAGAATGGCAATATCTTCATTTTACTTTTGAATTTCCTGAGTCTGAGCTATCTTTGAAACTTAGTTGATTGACTAGCCAAGCCAACTGTTCATTATGAGACCAGACATCTGACTTCCATGACAGTAAACCAGCGAGGGACAAAGAGATCGAGGAGACTGCATTTTAAAACTCGTGAAAAATCATTTTCCAAATTCTCCTTTATAGCCACTTAAAAAAGATGTTGCTTTTGCTTTGTTTACCTGAAATATTCTAACTCCTAAGATTATCTGTAAGGTATATTGATTTGCATTTCAAAAACTTGCCCTAAACTATCAAATTGAATAATACTTTCATCTGGAGACTTCCTTTGTCAGTGCAAAAACAGGAGGTAAACATTGTTAAAGTGTAAACAGAAATTCTGTTTCACTGGGTCAAATTCCATTCTTTTGAATTTCTCAGCAGTGTTAGACTAGTGCCTTGTACAGGTTTGTTAAATTTAACTGTGCTCCCTGCTCTGAACATAATGTTAAAGGGAACCAGAGCCAAACAGTAAAGTGGTAAAAATAGATTTTATTCAGGAACTACTGTAATGGGGCGGGGGGAGAACTCATTGTAAAACTGGACTCAATTTTAAGTACAAGAAAAAGTGGAGATTTATAGGGAAGGAGTGGGGGTGGACATTGTTGGATAGAAAATTATGAAGAGGAAACATCAACAGTAGGGGAGGATGAAAGGGCTCAAATTCTGGCTGAAGACAGGCCGTGATGATCAGACATCAAGAATTACCCCAATACATGTGATTAATTGCTTTTAAAGGAGTTGGGGATGAGGACTTTGATCTGATATTGAGGGTGATCAACTATCAAGAGTTGGAGAGTCTCACTAAACTGACTTAGCAGGATTCTTGTTACGAATATAGTCATAGCAAGGACAGGTGCCAAGGTCAATGCCTCGTTGAGAAGACTCAGAGGAGCCTGACTCAAGTTTGGTCAAGGAGAGAGTCTCTCTCTCTCTCTCTCTCTCTCTCTCTCTCTCTCTCACACACACACACACACACACACACACACACAAACACACACACACACACCCTTAGTAAAGAAAGAGAACTATCATATAGTGATTTTTTTCCCAAGTTTGTTCCTTTACTTCAGAATGCCCTTATCTCCTAGTAATGGAAATTTACATGAGGAAACTTTACAATAGAAACATTGAAAATACATTATAAATGTGTATATTTAAGAAAAATGTGGAGAATTTAGAGGAGATACCAGAAAAGTAATGAAAATTAATAAAAGGTTCTAAGTAACATGGAACAGGCAAAATAAAATTGACATAAATACTTTCAACTATGAAAAGCTAAAAATAAGAATTCACATACTACTCTACAACTAATGCAGACTTTAGAGATTATCTTTCTATTTTAAAGATGAGGAAGTTAAGTCCCAGATAATGTATAGAAACTTTAGCAAAAAGATCTTCCTAAACAATACCAACTGTTTAAACAGAACAAGCCGAGAAGACTCTGTCTAGTTTACATCCCCATTACATCAAAAGCCTTCTTATTTTCACTTGAAGGTGATTTTTGTTGAAATACACTTAAAATTTGGACATATTTATTCCAGAGAATTATATGGCTTTATTTTTCACTCTAGATACATTTTTTCCTATAAAACTTTCTCTTATTATCATCATTGTGTGTTTAATATTATGCAATTAGTCACTCACAGAAATAGAACCTATTAAAAGACTGATGGATTACATTGGTGACTATCTTAATGATGAACTGGTGAATTTTTATTAAATTAATTTTTTTTTTTTTTTTTTTTTAGCAATGACCATGCAATTTATTAGTCATCAGTTCCCTGATTACCATGACCCCACTATTGGTGAGTAAAAGCCTGTTTTCTACTTTAGCTCAAATAAAAGCACTCTAAATAAGTGGCTTGCAAATATTGATGTCTATGGAGAATAAGAAATATGTTTTATGCTGTGATTCAGTATGCATACACATTAATATATAATATGTAAGCTACCGCAATAATAGCTTCAAGAAACAATATTCGTCCTTCGTTCTTGCCACGCACTTTCATATTTTCCATTCTATTCTCTTTCTTCCTGATTGATGATGGTTGGAATACAGTAAGTTGATTTTGATTTCAGAATCCACTAATGGATATTTGCTGCATTTGAAACACTGTGCTCTGAATAATATACCTGATATGATTGTGCATTTTTATTTGGTCATTTTTTTTTCATTTTATCAGTGTCTGGATCTTGTATTGCACAAGTAGTTAACCATGTTAATGGTGCATTTGGAAAAGACTCTAGATGTAATTTTGTTTACTATCCTCATTTTGCAGATGAGGAAACTGGAATCCAAAGAGTCAAAATATTGTTAGAGTAAAAAAATCCAGCCATGTTTCAGTCTTCTGTTCAATTTTCTTTTATCACATCAAGTGCAGGAATATTGCAATTGGGAACACATATTCTTCCTCAGTCAAAGCAGAAAAGATGTCTTAAAACTACTTCACTACTCATTCAAAGAGCTACTTTAAAGAATAAGTTGAAAATTTCCAAAGAGTCTGTCATAGCATTTTTTTGCCCAGAAACACATTGACATTGAACACGCATGGAATATTATTTCATTTCATAAAAACCATATAGCTTCTAGAACTCTCATGGTTGCCTGCTTGTTTAGACTGGGAGTTCCTTTAACTGCACCTCACCCTTACCCTTTTTATTCCCTCATTCTGAATATCTTCCACCCTCACTTACAATGGGCGTGATCCCAAGCTAGCAATTTTAATTCAAGGTCCTACTGTGTATATAAAATGTTATTCTATAAATAATTATCTTGCATCTCTTTGTGTAAATCCTCCAGGATATTTGCTAAAATACTACTGCTGAAATAAATAAAATGTACTCATTTTTAAATGTCCCACAACATAGCAAGACCTTTTCATCCATTGAACTGAATTAGTAAGATTTAAGTGCAGGCAATTAGTATGCTGTTAATCAGAAAACACTTCCTCAAGGATCTGAGTTTTGTTTTTGAAGCAAAAATAATCACTTTGTAAAGTTTTAGAAGTGATTAGCTACAGTCCATGTTTGATAATCCTCCTAACACCATTTTCTTAATATCTTGATTCTGGATTGTTGATAACTTTACCTAACCTATAATGAGTTACAGATGAGAACTCTCTGGGCGAAAGCTCTGAATCTTCTATTTTGTTGGAAAACTCGACCATATAATATATCATTTATGAAATCACAAATCCCTCTGTTCATTATTTTCCATCATTGTTTAGGTTAATATGCCCTGGGTTTCAGAAATCTACATTTTGCTCACTAGACTTTCATGTATAATGGCTTGAATAGGGCAATATGTGAATAAATCATAAATGGCTCCTTCAAGTGGAATAAAGAAGAAGAATGTAATGATGACTCCTTTAGATATCTATGAAGCACAGCCATCATTTGAGATTCCATACTGACAGAGAGCTGAAATAATACCTTTACACGGCTATAAATAAAATAGCTTTAGAAGAAGAAGTTTGAAAATGGAGGCACAGAGCACTTGATTACTTTCAATTCGATTTTCCCATCATTTCATTTCTTGGCATCTCTAATGGGAATATTGGTTAACAATTTTCCATTGGTATCCTGCTCCAGAAAGGTAAGAGTCCCAAATAACTTTTCTCCTATTCAAGCTATATAACTATAATTCAGTCTGCCTGACTTAATGGCCCCTCAAGAGGAAATTCATATTAGTATATTTTGAAAATCATACAAATTATAGAAGAATACACCTATCAAAGATATTTATTTCACAATTTATATAATAAATGACTGTTTTTCAATCCCTCTTTAGATGTGTTTGTCATTTTACTGACTGAAGTTTTTGAATAGTTTTTTCTTTGAAATCTGAAAGATTTGTACGGTTTTATTTAGTTTTCCTATATTCAGCTTAGAATTATTTTTCTTTCAAATCTACAACAATTCTGAAAACTTAGGTTTCTTTTAGCCTTGACAAGAAATAAGCATATTGTCTGCTACCAATGTTCTTCCCAAAGAAATAATTACTCTCCTTATGTATGGGCAACATTTTCAAAGTTAGTAACTAATGGGTCTAGCTTCTGCAAAACCACAGAAAATACCTATGACAGGGTATTGAAAGGTGTTGAATCTATCCTTCCATGTGAGGAAACCTCACTCAAAAATTAGGTTTCTTATAAAGGTACCAAATACAAAGAAATTCAAGTTTTAATTTAATATTTAAAATAGACTATCTCTAAGTATTAAGTATTGCGTTAAGTACATTTAGTTTTTTCTATAGTAAAATAATTATGGAAATAGTAAGAAAAAAATATTTTGACCAAAGTTCTTGACATCCAACATTTCATACGATAAACACACACAGCAAATCATTAGAGGTAAACATTGTATGAAATTCAATCAGCAAAAAATATTTAAATGCCTCATATTTACAAAGGAATCTTCTAGAAGTAAAAGATTAAAATAGTACAGTTCAAACCTTAGAGAGCTTCTTATTTCTGGAAGAGGAATGAAGACACATACACAAATATTTATATCTTTGAAGTCAGTTATTACTATAAGAAAGAAGCAAAGTGCTAAGGGGTTTTGAAAGAATGGATAGGCAGTTCAGTGACCCTCTCTTAAATTGTACTTACTGTGATTTAGGATCACAGCCTCCTATATGTTTTAAAAGCCAAGAAACTCCTATCTTCCATTCTAGAATTAAAGATCTTTTGAGAAAACTTTCCAGGGAAGTCTGGACTTCTTAAAGACATTTGAGAAAATGACCTAGGGCAATTTGTTCTGATATATTTTTTTATACTATTTTGTTTGTTTGTTTAATCCTCACCAGAGGATATTTTTGCATTTATCTTCAGATAGAGTGGGAGGGAGAAAGAGAGAGGGAGAGAGAGAGAAACATTGACATGGAGGGACACATCGAGTGGTTGCCACCCACACGACCCCAACTAGGCCGGGGACAAACTGCAACTGAGGTACATGCCCTTAGCGTTAACTGAACCTGGGACTCTCCAGTCCTTGGGCCAATGCTCTAACCACTGAGCCAAACCGGCCAGGGCTATATATTTTTAATCTTATTGTAACTTGCTTGAAATAAAAAAATCTTATTGTGTATAAAAAATTTTAATTTAATATGAATTAGATTTCAAGTTGTTGATTTTTTTCCTGCAATAGAAGATGGTGTCCCTTTCCCCAAAACCAACTGTATATTTGTATATTGTGGACTGTATATTTAACTCAAATTATTGTTTATTGATATCTTCATATGTTGAGCATTGTTTCTGTTCCTGCTCTCATGGAAAACCAGTTTACTTCACTTGGCAAATTAATACAGATGAAACAAGATACAATCTCAAATAGCTTGCTCTGAGTAAGACATTTAATACTTGATGAAAAATTCCGAATCATGAAGGATTTGCATTCCTTCTCAGTTACAGAGCATTATAACTTTGATTATATCATGTATGTAATTGGTGGTTATCTCTCACTGTCCTCAGACTATTGTTTTGGTCCCCCTTCTCTGCAAGCCTATAAAACTATATCACCTCTTATGTGCTAGGTCCCATGCTAAACATCAGCTATGAAGAGATAAAAACACAATCTGTGACTTTAGAGCATTTTCAATTGGTGGGAAAAATTAATAAGTATGCAAGACCATGTGATGAGTTCTTAAAAAAAAAAAAAAAAACAATGCTGAAGAGGACAATGTAGGTACATCTCACATGACCTGAAGAGACATGAAGTACGTGTAGAACAGGTGCTCTCTGCACTGAGTTTCAAAGGATACATAGGAGCTGGGCAGGGGAAGAGGCAGGAAAAATAGATATTCTCAGAAGAAAAAAAAAAAAAAAAACACCCAAGGAAGACAATGTGGAACTAAGATGGGGAATTTGGGGAACCAGAAGTCCTAAAGATGAAATAAGTGACATAATGTGCAGATTGGCAAGAGGGAGGTCAAGATTTTTTAGGGATCCAGTCTTTAAAGACTGTGTAGGACCAGCTAAGGGTTTAGAGCTACAGTCCTGTACTTGTCTTTGAGACAAAAGTAAATATTACTGGCAGCTTACTTAACTTTCACATTTAGATTTCTTCAAGGCAGACAACAGTGAACATGCCCCAGCTTTAATTAATAACTGATTATTCTTTGTAGACTTGACTTTCTTCAGGATTCTTTATCATGATAAAGCCCTTCATTTACCATACCAGAAATCCAACAGAAATCATTGATACCTATTTCAATTTCTATGTTAATTCACTTACCAAGCTGTTGTTTCTACCTTCTAAAAATATCTTGCAACTGTCCCCATCTCTCCAGAACCTCTGCTGCCTTCTTATTCTAAGCTTACCGCCATTTCCAATTTGGACTAGTTCTTCCAACAGATTTTTAACAGAATCCAGAAATGTCTTTATGAACACAAATTTGGGCTGCTGAACAGTTCCCAATGTTATCAATTATTTTTGGGATGAAGAATAAAATTCCAAGAATAGAGCAAAATTCTCATGGTGTTGCTTCCACACCAGCTACCCACCACCCATTCTGGGGCTTCAACTACCTCCATCGTCCTTGAGATTCACAAACTCACCAAACCCCTTTCTTCCTTAGGATATGTTTGCACATATTTTACCTCTGAAGGCTCTTTACTTCTCCACCCTCCATTTTGCCTGGTTAACTTGTACTTTGATCGAATTTCAGCTTAAATGTTTCTTCCTCAAGCAAGTTACCTTTGAGAGTATTATGCGAAGGGAAATAAGTCAGACAGAGAAAGACAAATGACATATGATTTCACTAATGTGTGGAATCTTAACAAAATAAATGAACAAAATAGAAACA